AACAAAACAGGCATAGGTATCCATGTACAGCAAACTCCCCCTTTAACAACAAACTTGCACTATACTAACCATACCACCATCACATTCCACATGCGCATGGAGTTGGTCACTGGTGACAAGCAACGCCCTGCACCGATCGCCGCCATGACAGCAACTGAAAAGCTGGCCCCGCCATATCTAACCTCCTCCTCCTCTCAAGCCCTCAGCTAACAGACTACAGACCTCACCCCACCGGCCGCCCACCGCGGTCCTTGGGCCAGGAAACACGCAAGTGTTACCCACTGAATTTTTCCCAGAGACTACTCTCATAAAACCCTAAAGTCAATCAAGTGTAACGGGGAGCACTTGTTTCATTTCGTGCAGACATTTTACTTCCGGGTGTTGGTCGTTAACTTGCGTTAGTAACTGTACCTTTCATTAGTCGTGGGTGCAGGAAATGTATTTCCTGCGAGGCTTGGGTATCATACTTTGATTCTGTTCCGTCGGTGGGTGAATTGTTTTCGCCTCCATTCCTGAGGCAGTCAGGTTGTTTGGTATGAGCAATTCTGATTGGTGGTGGGCAGATTGGCTGACCAATCGTGTCGAGGTTGTTACGTAAGACGTAGGGCAGCTGCAGGGTATTTAAGCCGCAACACAAATTGTTCAGTGTCTGTATGATCGTGACCGGTCACAGGTGAGGTTATCCACCGCAATATGTCCCGTGATGGGACAACAACATGTTCCGTGACGGAACAATGAGTCCCGACTCCACTCCCTGTTAGGTTTCAGTGTATTTTTCGGCCAATAAAGAGAAATTGAATAGAAACGTATATTTGGGGTAACTTTGTTAGTGGGGACGGCCGGGTGGATTTCAGCATAATGGAACATGCCAGACAGTAGGATTTTCGTATACTAGTGTCGGTGCAGTAGATTGTAGGCAGGATTTAGCGTTATTTCAAGAGGGTGGTTAAAGTGTAGTTGAGAGGGTTGGGAGAAAGTAGGTTAGGTTATTAATAAAATATTTTAAGTAATTGTGTCTGTATATCTTTTGTTCTCAGGAATTTGTTAGATTTGACTTATTGTTTATATTGTTTTGTTGAGTTATAATTTATTAATACATTATGTTTTTATTTGAGAATATTGTTGGTTTTTGATTGCTCCTCTACATCCCTGAACTGGGAACGGGACGGTTTTGATTCAGAACACACAAAACACAACGCAAAGCATCATGGTCATTTGTTGTTAAGGCCGTTCCCGTTACACAAGCAATCACTCTCTACAATATTCATCTCTCCTTTTCTTTTCCTAAATCTCTTGTAAATGTACTTTATTTTCCATTTGTTTGTATTAATCTGTGTATATAGTGTACATAATCCAAGCCACTACTGCCCCCCAAACCATCCTCCCTCCCCATCTCACTGTTCTCCACACCAACAAAAGATTTCCCACCCCTCACCTCCCCACAACAAATAAACCCCATCCCTATAAATTTTGGTATTGACCTTGACTCCCTCACCCCACCCCAACAAACAACCACCCCCTCCTCCACAACACCCAAGCAACATAACTAAATCCACCAAACGCCCACACATCTCACCCACTGAATGCTCCCAATCAAACAAAAAACAATGCGACAAAGCCACTCCACCCCAAGCCCAAGACAACAAACTTATACTCCTCGCTTTCGCCACAAACGCCCACACACCACTCAATCACACATACTCAATAATGTAATTTTCTCAGTAAAATTGATATTTTATACTTATCCTGACTCATGTATTATTGCTTGTCTCCTTCTTTCCCGAACGTTAGTGGAACACTTGTATCTCCTTTTTGAAGCTCCCTTCAATAAAGCAGACGTAAAATCACTACTCACCACGAGTTGTCTCCCTCTCGGTTTTGGCGGGAAAACGGCGCCACCCGTCTTCCCACGCCTCACTCTCTCCGAATTGCTAGCCCGACACTTTGATTTACAGGGAAATCCAAAGTGCCTAATGGGGAGGTTGGGAGGGCTTACCTCATGAGTCAGGATAAGTATAAAATATCAATTTTACTCAGAAAATTACATATTTTTCCTTATCCTGACTCATGTATTATTGCTTGTAGAATCCGACAGATCTGGTGGTGGGTCAAGCCACAGCTGGATTCCAATTAGTGATTTACGTCTTGCATACCCCCCTATGGGAACTTCCTGGTAGCACTTCAATTTACTGCTAGGCTCTGCTGCTGCTGCTGTAACCCTTTACTTCCAGCTTTCTCTGATGGGGGGACCACAATTGTTAACTTTTGGTCCTTGCTTCTGTTAACATTTTTATGTGGATTTTTGCAACACCATCTCTTGATGCAAGCATCAAGTGGAGAAGCGACCCTTCTTATGTACGAATACGTCCTTACAAGTACTGGGTCTTATCACTTATGCTAGTCTGTCTTAGACGTGCATATGGACTCTAAAGCTGTAACTCTCCTGAGTGTTGGCTTTTGCAAGCCATGTGATAAAAGGGCGAGACTCTGTCTCAGCGCCTCTGTGCAACAGTCAATTGTTGTGCTACAACAAGTGGGCTGAAATGGTGAATGCCAGAGACGTCTTCAGTGGCGATGTCTCTCAGGTATTGGTTGGCAAACACCATGTCCCATTTCCAAAAGCAGCCCTCCATTATCCTCATGATAGAGCAGTTTCCATGTAGAGCGAGTGTTGACGTCAGAGCTCTAATTTCATGTGGATTGGAGGCTCTTGGAGGATCAAGTCCTGCTGCTTTGTAGGCCCGTGGAATGACAGTTCTCATCCATATTGATATCGTAGTGCGAGAGATCTCAGTCTGTGTCTCTGCCGATATAGGGATGAAAAGACGCTTGAATTTTCGTCTCCTGGTCCTAGACCTCTGTAGGTAGACTTTCCATGCTCTTACTGGGCACAAGGATAGGTCCTGTGTATCCTGTGGCCCAAGGACTGATGATAGTGCTGGGATGTGGAATTGTCTGTCCGGTTGACCTGGCAGTTGTTTCTTTGCTATAAAGTCCCATCTCAGTCCCATATGCACGATGTTTCGATTTTCATCAAATCGTGTCCTTTCAAAGTGTAGAGCATGTATTTCCGACCTCCTTGCTACTGTTGCTAAGGCAATCAGGAACAGAGTTTTCTGTGTCAAGAACTCAAAAGATTATACTTAACTTGTTATGAGTTTATGCAACAAGGACATGTCCCATCCTCATTGCTAGTCTAGTCCATATAACATTTATATATTTGCTTGCACCATGCTTCATTACGCACGTCTCTATCACTTGTTTACATCTCTCTACCATGGCTTGATACCACCTTACCCCAGTTAGACAGGTACGGCACACCGCGCGTTCTGTCTCATTTATTTCTAACATAGATTTCTTTTGATATATGCATATTACTACTTTGCATTACAAGTAGTTATATGTACAGCAACAATATAATACATTTACATTCGTTATCAAATAATCCTACCACATATTTGCCAAGCTACCACAATACTTTGCCAAGCTACCCACAATGCCTTAGGTTCTCGGTTCCCGTGTATTAGCCATCTTGGAAGGAATTCAGATTAGTATTTTGCTTACCCACCGCCTCCCTTCAACAGGGATCATATCCTATCATGTTTTTATTTCATTTACATCCATTGTTACTTGTACTTTCACGTGGGACTGGTTGCTGATTTGGGCCTCAAAACATTCTCCCACAGGAGAAACTGTTTTGGCCCCAAAAATAGTGTAAGCACCGGTGCTAAGGGTAACCCTAGGACACATCCGGTGTTTACCACTTAGCCCTAGGGTCATTTGGCAATCAGCCCCACCAATTCCCCAATCTTGTATATCAATAAATAATGTTTGATTTATTTTGTTATGTCATTATTTGCATAAAGTCCTATTTAATGGTTCATAAAGCGTCACTGGTGAGCTGCCAGAGAACTATGTTGAGGTCCCAAGCGGAGCTTTAAATCTCTGTTGTTGGTCCTCCAGTTTAAAAGCGTAGTAAGGCCAGTAACTCTGGTACCTTGTCAGTTTTACACTCGTCCTCATAGTGATAACTGAGCTCAATGCCGCTAGGTATGTTGAGAGTGTTGACCCTTTTAACCGCTTCGTTTGTCTAGGTGACAAAGATAGTCCGCCACTTGAGGGTGTGTCGCTTTCATGTCTGTGAAGCCTGTTTTCAAAGTGTAGGTCTCAAAGCTTCACCACTTGTCGTCGTACAAGTTGCATGTTGACTTGCGTAAAGCTAGCGTGATCGCTTGAGCTGCCCTGGCGGAATATCCTCTCTTATGCAATCACGTCTTGATACGGTCCATGTGTGTAGGCAGAACACCTCGGGGTTGCCGTGTGCTTGCTTTGTGTGTGGATGTACTAGCAAGTTCGTCCACTCTGGTAGTTGCAGTTGAGGTGGTCCTAGTTCTTGTATGAGAATGGGGAACAATATAATACATTTACATTCGTTATCAAATAATCCTACCACATATTTGCCAAGCTACCACAATACTTTGCCAAGCTACCCACAATGCCTTAGGTTCTCGGTTCCCGTGTATTCGCCATCTTGGAAGGAATTCAGATTAGTATTTTGCTTATGCTTTGCTTCTCTCACGATGGAACGAGGTCGGCCCCGCACTCGCCAGAGGAACATACGATCCAACCGTGCAATCGCTACCGAGAATACCGACAGATGGGCCAGAGACCGACCCGAAAATTGGTCATCCCAAAACCTAAAACGTAAGCTGACAAGCATGGGCGTACGAGTACCGGACAATCTACCCAAGAAAGTATTAGTCCAGATGTACATGCTAAATGCTAAAGAACAGCCATCCGTGAATCCCGGCCAGTCTTCCAACAGCCGTCAACCGTCCTGCTACTATCACGAAAGCAGAGCCGACACAGGCAGCAAGGAGAAATAGAGGAAATTCATACAAATCCAAATTCGAGCAGACACACCAGAGAAGCCAGTACATCGGAACCAACCCTCAGCGACCTTCTAGCTGAATTCAGAGTTACGACGGAAAGTGGATGACATGGAGGCCAGACAGGATCAGAGAACCCAGGGTAATTCTCCACATTTCACTGGACACAATCTTCAAACTTTAATTCACACAGCTGAACGTAGTGCACCTGAGTCATGCATGTTGTCCAAACCGGTACCCTCTGATACCCTTCCCCACATAGATCCAGTGAAGGGCGAACACAAGAAAGACATTATAGAGGGTAGGAAGTATTTCAACTTGGCAAAGTTGTTATCTGCTTCAACTGAATCTGGAGAATACATAATGTCAGAATTCTCCGCAGAGGGCGGTGAGCAGATATCCATGAAGGAGGACATTAAACTGAAGCGCCCCTTGACCTTAGGCGAATTCATCAAAGCCTTTGGTATATACAAAGCAGTGTTTTGCGAGGCTTATCCACACCGCAGGGACGAAATGGATAAGTACGAGAGATTGATTGTGGATATTGCATCACAGTACGGTGGATCATTGTTTTATGAATACCACCGCATGTTTGCTACCAGGGCAGCATCATTCGTCTGCAAAGGCATCATAATTGACTGGAGCATCATCGATACCAGGATCTATACTACCGTGACATCAGGTAGACGCACCCGAGCATGTACCATATGCCAAAGTCTCACACACACAACAGAATTTTGTTTCCTGACCAGCAAAAAGGACAGTCACTTCCATCCCTATCACCGGAATCATGATTCTCACGGACGTCCACGCAGCATTATCGACGGCGACGAAATCTGCAATAACTTTAACGACAGGGGCTGTAAAAGAGACCCATGCATCTTCGCCCATAGATGCATTACCTGCCGCAAGGAGGACACGGCCGACTGGATTGCCCCAAAACTAATATCCGGCGAAAAGAGGAAGTGACTGGTGGCTTCTCGCCATTGACACACAGCACCTACTGACCGAATTATCTGGACACCCTGACAAAGCGTTTGTGGATACACTCATCAATGGGTTAAAATACGGTTTCCATCCACTCATTGAGCCAGTACCACAGACCAACATCGAATGCAGAAACAACTTAAGTGCCAGGAAACAGCCAGGCGTGGTAACGGCAGCAGTTGAGAAAGAGGTAAAAATCAGTTTGTGTGTGGTCCTTGGGACTTACCCCTTTCGGTGTACAGAGTGAGCCCTCTTGGCGTTGCAGAGGGTAAATACAGTAAGAAGAAAAGACTCATACTAGACTTGTCTGCCCTCACAATTCAGATGAACCCAGCATTAACCAATTAATAGACAAAGAATCATGCTCTCACATACGTGACCATAGACAAAGCAATCGACACCATTAAACAATGTGGCCAGGGTGCATGGTTATGTAAAGTGGACATATCCGATGCCTTCAAGCAAATTCCAATACACCCAGACTTTTGGAGGTACTTTGGATTCAAGTGGAAGAATAAATACTACTTCTACCAACGCTTAGCATTCGGATGCAGATCTAGCCGATGTATATTTAACATGCTTTCCCAGGCACTCGTGTGGGTTGCCAAGAACAAATATGGCATACAAAACATTTTGTGGTTGCTGGATCGATTTTTTGACCATCGACAAACCCAGTTATGATGCTGACAGGACCGTGGCACTGCTATCTCTGGTCTTCAATCAATGCCGAAAACCCTTAGCCAATCACAAGACAGTGGGACCAGTACATGAACTTGAATACCTCGAATCATTTTAAACACTGTGAACATGGAAGCACGTCTACCACGGAACAAGATCGAAACGCATTGGCGATTTCATTCAATCATTCCTGGAAAAGAAGACGTGTAAGAAGAGAGACTTGTTGTCACTGTTAGGACATCTCAATTTTGCCTGCAAAGTGATCATACCAGGTAGATCATTTGTGTCCTACTTGATTGAACTGTCCACCAAAGTTTCAGAACTGCACCATTTTGTCCACATTAGCAACGAATGTAAAAAAGACTTAACAATGTGGAAAAAATTCCTGTCTGATTGGAATGGAGTATCATTCTTCCTTGACCTTCACATTACCAGTCAGGCCCACTTACACCTGTTCACAGACTCATCATCAGTAGGATTTGGGTGTATCTATGGATCACGGTGGTTTCCGGCGGCGTGGCCTGTCGACCTTCCTCGGACACATACTTATGGCCTATCTATGTCCTTCCTTGAATTGTACCCCATAGTAGTAGCAGCCATTTTATGGGGCAGGAGTGGAAGTGCAACGTATACTGTTCCACTGCGACAACAGCTACAGTGGATATCATACATAAGGGACGCTCCAAATGTACGAGGATAATGAAACTTATGCGTGACTAACCTGGTGTGCTGCTACTCACAATTTTATCATACTTGCCCAACACCTCCCAGGAGTTAAAAACTGTATTGCAGACTCTCTTTCACGGTTGCAGATCGACAGGTTCAGGAAGCTGGCGCCCCATGCAGACGAAGAACAACATCCCTGCCCACCCATCAACCAAGTACTCTGGGACTAACATCAAGTCTAAATACATTGTGGGATGCAGCAGTGAGTCAAAGGACGAGAGCCACATACTCAACAGGTTTTCAGGCGTTTACCCAGTTTCTCATCATGTTCCACTTGTTCCTACCATCAGTGAATGGACTACCCCAAACAGATGAGGAATTGCTCATGCAGTTTGTGGCTTATTGTTTCAATACCCTCCATCTGAAGTACACCACAGTGAAAACCTATATAGCAGGCATCAGATATGAGTACATGTCAAAGGGTGTGTCTTGTGTTTTCGATCGTTCAACTCTAGGGGCCACCAGTAGACTGCAAACAGTACTGAAAGGATACAAGAAATTGCAATCTTCTCCGGCGTTACAGAGGCTTCCCATAACGTACGACATTCTCAGGAACATGGTAGTGACATTGAGGAGAGGCGTGTTCGGACCATACAATGATCTGATGATGGAAACCATGTGTACAGTTGCTTTCTTTGGATTTATGAGATGTAGTGAATTCACCTGTGTATCTCCTTTTAATCCAGCGGTCAACATGTGCTTGTCAGACGTCACACTAGACAAAAGTGTGCCTTGTGCTAAAGTGTTGTTAAAGGTGTCCAAAACGGATCCCTTTCGAAAAGGTGTTGTTATCACGTTGTGTAGTACAGGAACACCTGTTTGTCCTTACACAGCTCTAAAATATTGGATACAGGTGCGCAGCAACAGGGGCACTTTGCCATCACACCCCCTGTTTATCAATGCAGAAGGGCAACACATTACTAGAGCAAGATTTCTGGGATACCTAAGATGTACGCTTCACAGAATAGGGATCAATGGTGCCTTATACAACACACATAGCTTCCGTCGTGGAGCTGCTTCCTCGTGCAGTGCTGCCCGGATAGAAGGGCACCTCATCCAAACTCTTGGGCGTTGGAGATCAGACTGCTTTCTCCGATACATTGATGTCTCGAATTCTACATTACAAGCAGCTCAACGAAGCTATGTGCTTTGTGTAACCTACCCCAGTCATATTTTGGGGTCATTCACTCATATACTCACATTCTTCTCATGGGCCTCAAAACATTCTCCCACAGGAGAAACTGTTTTGGCCCCAAAATAGTGTAAGCACCGGCGTTAAGGGTAACCCTAGGACACATCCGGTGTTACCACTTAGCCCTAGGGTCATTTGGCAATCAGCCCCACCAATTCCCCAATCTTGTATATCAATAAATAATGTTTGATATATTTTTGTTATGTCATTATTTGCATAAATATACTTAACTTGTTATGAGTTTATGCAACAAGGACATGTCCCATCCTCATTGCTAGTCTAGTCCATATAACATTTATATATTTGCTTGCACCATGCTTCATTACGCACGCCTCTATCACTTGTTTACATCTCTCTACCATGGCTTGATACCACCTTACCCCAGTTAGACAGGTAATGCGGCACACGCTGCGCTCTGTCTCATTTATTTCTAACATAGATTTCTTTTGATATATGCATATTACTACTTTGCATTACAAGTAGTTATATGTACAGCAACAATATAATACATTTACATTCGTTATCAAATAATCCTACCACATATTTGCCAAGCTACCACAATACTTTGCCAAGCTACCCACAATGCCTTAGGTTCTCGGTTCCCGTGTATTCGCCATCTTGGAAGGAATTCAGATTAGTATTTTGCTTACCCACCCGCCTCCCTTCAACAGGGATCATATCCTATCATGTTTTTTATTTCATTTACATCCATTGTTACTTGTACTACGTGGGACTGGTTGCTGATTTGGGCCTCAAAACATTCTCCCACAGGAGAAACTGTTTTGGCCCCCAAAAATAGTGTAAGCACCCGGCGTACTAAGGGTAACCCTAGGACACATCCGGCGTGTTACCACTTAGCCCTAGGGTCATTTGGCAATCAGCCCCACCAATTCCCCAATCTTGTATATCAATAAATAATGTTTGATTTATTTTTGTTATGTCATTATTTGCATAAAGTCCTATTTAATGGTTCATAAGCGTCACTGGTGAGCTGCCGTAGAACTATGTTGAGGTCCCAAGCCGGAGCTTTAAATCTCTGTTGTTGGTCCTCCAGTTTAAAAGAGCGTAGTAAGGCCAGTAACTCTGGTACCTTGTCAGTTTTACACTCGTCCTCATAGTGATAACTGAGCTCAATGCCGCTAGGTATGTTGAGAGTGTTGACCCTTTTAACCGCTTCGTTTGTCTAGGTGACAAAGATAGTCCGCCACTTGAGGGTGTGTCGCTTTCATGTCTGTGAAGCCTGTTTTCAAAGTGTAGGTCTCAAAGCTTCACCACTTGTCGTCGTACAAGTTGCATGTTGACTTGCGTAAAGCTAGCGTGATCGCTTGAGCTGCCCTGGCGGAATATCCTCTCTTATGCAATCACGTCTTGATACGGTCCATGTGTGTAGGCAGAACACCTCGGGGTTGCCGTGTGCTTGCTTTGTGTGTGGATGTACTAGCAAGTTCGTCCACTCTGGTAGTTGCAGTTGAGGTGGTCCTAGTTCTTGTATGAGAATGGGGAACCATATTCTCGCTGGCCAATAAGGCGCGATCAAAATCAGTTGCAGGTTCCTCGTCTGCATGATTTTCTGCAACACTTTCGGTATTAGAGCTGGTGGCGGGAACGCGTTTTACAAGCGTTTAGTCCTTCCCAAGAGATGCATCTGTTGCCCATGCTCGTGGATCTGGTATTGCAGAGACGAATGTTACCAGTTGATTGTTGAATCTTGTGGCAAACAAGTCTATTAGTGGCGCTCCTATCTCTTGTATGATCTGTTTGAAGACTTCTGGATGTAGCATCCATTCTGTTGGGGATGGCTGAGTTGGACGAGATAGTGCGTCTGCTATCACATTCTTGGCTCCTGGAATGTGGCATGCTTTATGTGGCTATTCAGATTGTCTGTTATGCTGAACCGATGAAAGCACAGGTTCAGAAGGTTCGCCGACCTTGTTGACCCTTGTTTGCTTATGTAGAACGCCACTGTGGAGTTGTCAGTGTGTACCGTTAGATGAGCATTTTATAGAATGCTGGTCCAGTGGAGTATGGTGTTTATCACTGCTTTCATTTCTAGCATGTTGATATGCAGATCTTTCTCTTGTAACGTCCATTTCCCAGCTGACACTTCGTTGTCGAGGTGTGCTCCCCATCCTTGGAGAGATGCGTCCACATAGAGATGCGTTTTGCACTCCGGCTCTGCTAAGTAGGTGCCTCCGCAAACATTCGATCCCTGAGTCCACCATAGTAGATATGGTTTTAGTCTGTCCGGGAGTCAGAAAGGGTCCGGATCGTCCAGATGTGCAATTACGAAGACCTGTAGTGGGCGTAGTTGTAATCTCCCTCTGCGGGTCATATCTTGTGCTGACGTGAGGAGACCCAACAGACTCTGCCACTGTCGAAGTGGCCA